AAAAAAAAAAAAAAAAATGAAGTCCTAATTGTATTTCCAAAAATTCCATGATGGAAGCAATTATATAATAATTTTAATTGAGTTAGATACTAAAACTGAACAAAGATACAACAAGGAAAAGAATTATATAACTCATCTATTATAAACAAGCTTGAAAAAATTCTTTAAAAAATATAAAGAAATCAAATTTATCAGTATATATATATGTGAGAACAGGTTGGGTTTATTCCAATAATACATTTTATTAAAATCAGAGTATCTTTTAATGTAACAGACCACCTTATGAAAGAGAAGGAGAAAAGCTACATGCTAATTTTATTAAAGGCAGATGAAACATTCAATAAAAGTCAGTGACTATTCACGAATACAAAAAAACGTTGGCCAAACAGAAAAGAGTGTTTATCTAAATCCCACAGGAAACACCACATTAATGACAAAACAGTTAAAAGCACTTCTGCTGGTATCAGAAACCAGGTAAGGATGCCAATGTCTGATCAGTGTTGTACGGGAAGTCTTACCTAAAGCAGTGAGACAAGAAAAAAGACACAAGGGGTGAAGAACAACAGAAGAAAACAAAAAAATTCTCCTCATTCTCAGACAGTATCACTGTCTACAAAGAAAACCCAAGAGAAATCTACACACCACTGTTAGAACTAATGGAAGAGTTAAGAAAACTATTGGACATAGTCCCAACATACACAAATTTAAAGCATTCTTATATGACAATAAAAAACAATGCAAAAATATAAAATACTGTCATCAAAATAACATTGAAAGCAGTAATATATCTAAGGCATACATTTTAAAACATTACATGTATGAATGTGCGAGAAATGACAAAACATTATTAAAGACCTTTTAAAAGTCTTGGTTGAGACATTATGTTTGATGTAAAACATTATGTAAAGATGTCAACTGTGTCAAAATCAGTCTATATCTTTAATGTAATTCCAATAAAAATCTCAATAGAGTTATCCATGAAACACAAGCTAATATTGAAAAACGAAACAAAAAAAACCACTTAATAATGCA